CTCTTCAAAGTTCACACTACCAAAAACGTGCTGGGAAAGGGAAAAGCGTCAGTGGTGTCCACCTATGCTTGGAAATCCCTTTCCTACATACCAAAACGGCTCTCCTTCCTGTTCACGCAAGGCGGATTATTCTTGCCCTGAGAAAGAAGTGTTCATGGCAAAGGTCACACATATCGGTCCGCATGTTGATGGCCATACCATGAAGTTGTAATTGGTAGGCACCATCAACCCAAGAATGATGCTACGGGGGTGCTGGAAGGTTATATCGTACTGGTGTCGCTCATCATGTGCTGTTGTACAGTCAGTAGGTACATCGTAGTAACTGTACAGCAGGTCCCTGAATCCTATGGGTCCGCAAGGGGATGTATTCCTAATAATAATAATAATACAAACTCCTTAAGATGAGAGAGAAACATATGAGAAACAGGTAGGCGCTTAGTCACTTCTCCGTGATAATATCACTGTAGAAAAGTCAGTTTAGCTTAGAAAAGTTAGCAATGGGGCATGCATACTCTTACTATGTATATAAAGATATCCTGACACTTGGCTTGGCTTAGATCACTACGCCTGACCTCTGGGACACACCTACAGGTGAGGGAAATGTGTGGGAAACAGGTAAGTGGCTATGCGGAGGTGCCGGGAATCACCCCGGGAACCGGGTCATACTCCGGGCGGGGGGAAATATGCCTCCCCCCGCAATGACTTACTTTACGGGGGGGAGGTGAGTGTCCGGGGGGGAAAAATAATTTTTTCCCATTTGGACACTCATAGGAAGAGGTGTTCTAACTTCAAAAGCTGTCAACAGTGAGAACAAAGGAGGTTGATGAAGACCTTGCTAGTAATTGCGAGACTATCAGTTGAAAACTAGTTATGAATGAGATGGTGGATTCACGACAGCATGAAAGGTCACGAGGAGGTTGTAGCAGGATAAGAAAGGACTCGACACGAGGGACGCTATCGAGAGAAGTGTGATATACGACTTTTTGTATGATGATAAATCCCCGGGCTTCTCGAGCGGTCCACAATTGATCAAACTGAGGCAAAGTCAAGTTTCGAATACATCATTCTCGCGGTCAACCCGGACGTGATGCTGACGATGGGAGGTACTTTATCACGGGGCACCCTTCGCGCAAAAAAAATAAGCAGTTGAAGTTTCCCCAACTTGAGAGTCACTTGTGAGCCATGATGGGCGCACGAAACCAGATGAATCAAAAACTACTACCTAGGAACATCTCTCTTTAGCAGTATCCCAAAATTAACCCGATACAAACTCCTGTCGGCTGTCACTGCAGCGGCACAAACGTGGAGATATGGTTGCTCTGAGGACTGTTAAACATCATGCGTTCCAAATCAGTCTGATATAAAAGTTAAGAGCGATCAGATTGCTGTAACTTGCCCGATACATTGATCCACCATGGGAGCCGTTGTGACAGTTTATCGTTTGTCCTGGCGCGACTCCAAGTACGATTTTCAAAGGACAGGGTAGAGAACTCGAGCAAAACAAGATTCTCAGGTATCGGAGGCGCTTGATCGGCTTCTGGCCTCGCAATTCTCTCCACCATTTCTCGCAGCTGGGCTCGAACCTCTGGACCAATGGGGGTACCGGCGTCGTTTCTTTGCTTCAAGCAGCCATAATTGTCGTCGGGCGAAAGTTGGCGAAGCGGTGGTTCTAGTATGGGTGTCTTGTCGCCGTTCACTATCAACTCTGAGATGTAGCCTGAGGCCTCCAGTCCAAGGCTGAATGAATGTCAACTGATCGAGGTTGCAGAGGCATGCTGGTCGCATTGAGAACAATGAGCCATCATACGACATACCTTAACCTATACTCTGTCTAATTGGACATCCACCCTGAGAGTCGCGTTGTGACTTGTTTAGGTGAATATATATCAGGGACCTTTGGTTTCTGAGCGGACAGAAGGGCAATCGAGAAAAAGAGTTGTGTGCTCATGTTCGTTCTCAGGGATTAACACTATATTGCGACTCCTCCGAAAGATAGGTTGTTAGACTGTGAATGATTTAGGTAGCTACTTGTGTCTGTTAGTTTCTCCTCTCCCAAACAGTGACTTTCTCGTCTGGGGGGGGGGACAGTGCTACCTCGAGTCTAAGGCCGAAAAAAAACACCCCCAGCAGAATGTCGGAAGACGATACCAACAAAAAAGCATCCAGAAGTCATAAGTTCCGTTACAGGGAATCGAACCCTGGGCTATCGCGCAGTCAAATGGGAAATTGTGGATGAGAGGCGATAATGTTAGCCACTACACCATAACGGAGTTGTAAACATTACGGGTGATTGGGTATAGATAGTGTGTTCAGAGTCATGTCCTCCAAGCTAAGATCAAGAAATCACTCGCACTTGTACTTTGTCTGGAACGGGAACTTGGTTTTTGACGTTAGTCGGGGTCAACTATTCCTATTGACTTTCACGGACTTGGAGAATGTGTGGGAGGTCAGAACTAAGGATGTACACCGCAAGCTTGTTCCGAATCCTTGCGCATCCCTCTCCTTTCGAGTGGGCACTGTTGATGGTATGTAAGGGAAAGGCACCGGGCGGGCGGGAGATTGATCGTCTAAGTCGAGTTTAGGTACTGTCATTTCTTTGGGTCGTCGGAGGGTTTATATCACGACACACGATTACCAACCGAGAATAGTGAATACAGAACCTCGTACGTACAATGGAAGAAAAAAACGGAGAACATGATTTAGTCCGTTACAGGCAATCAAATCATGGGCTATCGCGCTCTATTTGAAAGACAGGGGCTGAGAGGCAATAATGTTAGCCACTACACCATAACGGAGTTAAATTGCGGGTGATTGGGCATATATAGAGGAGTGCAGTTTCAATTTGTGAGTGCATGTCATACTTGCGTCCCTTTGGTACGGATAAGGAATCCAGCTCTGCGAATGATTGGGAGATTCAAAACTGTATGTCCCCTGGCCCCTTGGGTAACACGTTGGAATCTAATCGATTAGAAGGCAAGTGCATGTTGTAAGGGCGCGAGTCTCCGTGTTAGAGGTCAACAAGAGAATATTTGGTCCGAATTTTCATTTTCTCCGTTCGAAAACTCCAAAGGCTTTGTGAAGGGTAGAATTAGGACCGATATATGTACCCAAACAACATATTGCGTGTAGCTCCCTGGTAGTATATCGGTTAGTACACGCGCCTGTCATGCATTGTAAAGAGACGCCTTCGACGCGCGAAAGCTGGGTTCGACTCCCAGCCAGGGAGATGTGCTTTTAGGTGCAGATGTTTCCTCTTTTATGAGAGGATCTTTGTGTCCCTTTGTCCAGTGTCTTTGTAGCTCAATCCTCTTCCAATTTCTCTATATAATTGAGCTATCGGATGAAAACGCCGCCCCAAACATCTGTGCCCACCTTCGAGTGCCGGCGGCAGACCGACGCGTGAACGTGACGTTGCCAATTCGCCAAATCTATTGTTGGCTATTGACGGTCATCATCACCATCCCACCAACTACGATGGTTCGGGTACGTCTCATCGTCTCGTTCCTACACACGGCACTAATGGCCATCTTGGTTATAGTCACCACGAATGCCCAACCAAGACTTCGGTCTACGACATCTACCCGATTTATCCGCATCGACAGAAGAAGAACCACCATTCCAAATCCCCAACGACAACGACTCGTACCTCCTCTCACATAACGATGGGGACGGCGGTGGATACTCGTTCTTCCGAGGGACCAACGAAGAGGAATATAGCGTGTTAGGGATGGGGGCTACGCCTGTGGTACCGCCGTGTCAGAATCAGAGAGAGTTGACGTCGAAGAGAGATGTTTTGGTTGATTCGCCTAGGGGAATACGAAGACTAAGACGTATTCGACGCCGCATCGGTTGGCGAGTTTGAAATCTGCTATAGAGAGGTGGGATGATGAGGTTCGTGTTTTTCCTTTCCTTTTTCCGCTCTCTCTTGGTGTCTGTTGACTTGAAGACCCCCAGACTCGACTCCTCCCAACCAATACGAACATGAACCAGAAAGAGCTTTTGAACGTGACTATGGACTTGGACAGCGATACCGATATGGATGCGACGGAGGATAGTATCAGTATCAACACTGGTACAGGCAGGTCGATGACGTATAGTCGGCATTTTGGATTGGGTCAGCCGTCGTAAGTTTCGTCTTGTATACGCCTCACCCCTTGTTAATGCTGAGCTCTTTTGTATAGGAACTCCCCAGCGCAACCGGTGCAGAAACTCGCTACCTCGTACGTGTATATCCGCGTTCGGGTCCTTCCAAGCGCTGACTCGAATGGTATAGGCAATCGCCGGCTAATCAACAGAAGCTCACGACGAAAAAGATATTCAGTCCTCCAACGACCTCCCAGCCAGAACCGTCGTCTTCTATACCAGCCATCCCGAACGCGTAGGCGAAGACGCACCCTCCCCCGCTGGCACCCCTACCATCCTGATGGAGGTCAAGGAGAGGAAGGAGAAGTGAATGGAAAGGCCAAGATCAAACCGCCGCTTTCGACCTAACCCCAATCCTAGTCTCCAGGGATGTGACCAACACCGACAATAATACTCCCCGCTTCCAGTTGTTGATGCCGAGTAGTCGTCTTCGTACGTCAACATTCTTCTTCACATCAGTCCTCCTAACGTGATATAAATGTTCATAGAAGACCGGCGTTGGCGAACACAAACACGGACGCGGAGACGATGTAGGGGAACAACGACAATATGAGATATCGACGAAGGCTCTGACCACGCCCTAAAAAGGGCGAAGAGAACGACACCCCTCTCATGCTTACTCGTAATACATGTTATCGAATATAGAACAGCTAGAGAGGAGGTTTAACCAAAGGTTTGCATACGCTTAGGTATTCTTGAATGAGTTCGAAAGGTATGTGGGTGCAAAC